GTATATAAAGCGGCTGGTCTCGGCATTGTCGCGTCGCTATATAATCACTGTTAGCCGGCGGTACCCGCATCACCGAGCGTTCTGCGTGCAAGCTGGGACCAAAGATCTAAGGACCTGAGGACCAAATCAGGGACCAAGGATCTGAGGATCAAGCGATAAAAGCCTAAAGGCTCCCCTACCTCGAGTATAAATATAACAGGCTTTACTTCGAGTATCGAAAAGCTGACTATCCACTTCGAGTATCGAAAAGCCAATAGGCTCTACCTCAGTAGAAAAGACCGAAGGCTTTCTTGGAATACCGAGAAGCAAGCCAAGACTCCACTTCGAGTACAGAAAACCCTAAAAGCTCTGCATAATACCAGGAGTACCAGGAGTTCGTAGCTTATCATATATCACAGGATGCCGCCGAAGAGGCGCGCATCCATCGGAAGAGTTGATCCTGAGGCCAAAAAGGTCAGGGATCAATGAGAGGCTGAGACCTCCGAGCTGCGCTAGTACGGCTAGAAGACAATCTGGCCAGAGTAGCCGACGCGAGGGCAATGCAAACGCTGGATGAGCGTGAAAAAGTCTCTCGCAAACTCGCCTTCGGCTTCCTGCTTTGAGAGCCTCAGAATCGCAAGAAAGCCGAGGCTTTTGATTCAAGGACGATCGAGTGATACACGCTTAAGCCAGATCTAAAGAGACGACAGAACGCGCAAATCTCGACTCGAGGAAATGAGATCGAGGAACGCTGTGAGCGCGAATCTCGGCTCGGCAGCAATCGAATGAGGGCTGAGGCTTTACAAAGAGCGGAAACTGGTGCAGCGCATTCAGTACGGCTCAAATGTGATCGAGCTTATCATGTTCACGCTCGACAGACATTTAGGCGAGAGATCTTCACCCAGCGGCGTTTAATTACTATGCTCAGGTCGATTACTTAACCCATTCGAAGGTGCAAATCGGAAAGATGGATGTCATGTGTGGCAAGCGTCAAGCCAAAAAGTTTAGAACCGAAGCTCTTGGCATGTGCTTTCCAGCGGCCAAATCAATCTTCCGCCTCTATGTGAGCCATTTGAACGGCTTCGTTCATACATCTCCGGCACGAATGCTGTGTTCAAGCATTTCTTGCAAAACTTCAGAAAGTACAATGCGTGCTTTCAGATCACGTCCTTTCGCAGTACAGCCGCCACGGCCGACATTGAAAAACAGGGCTTCATGCCAACGTTCAAGGGCTGGGACAGATTTATCGTAAAGCTGGATCCTATTCTTGCAGCTGTACTTCGCCTGGAGCAGCTGCTAGCGAATCAACTTTTGGCGTTATCGTGGCATAAGGCCGGAGATCGTGCTGAAGCTGCAAAGAATGCTGCATGAGCACAAACGCCTGGTGAATGATCAAGACTGCTCTGGAGCAAATGCCTACAGTGAGTGCAAGGTCGTTATCCTGCTGACAAGAGACCTACCGGTCAGCACGAGTCCCTGCAGTACCCATTCACGTTCCGGGATGGGGAAGACGGGTATCATTTCGAACTATGGCAGAAAAGTCCTAGCACTGGCTCCCTCACCAATGAGGAGGTATCGACTATGGATTATCATGCGCATGCGCATGGCATGATGATAAGGTCCACGTCCTTCAACCATATCGTGAA